TAGTGAACAATTTGCAATAATTTTTGATTTATTTCAGTTAAGTCTGTGATCAAAGGCTGATTTCTCCTGAATTGTAATCCCAGAAATTCCCACAAAACTAAGTTCAGTTTCAGTTTGAACATTTGCTAACTATGCGCTTTCATCCAGCGGGTTTGTTTACTGTATTTTTGCTGCCCATTAAGACGAAAAGATAGAAGAATGTTCGGATAGTTGAAAGCACTGTGAAAGAGAGAATGGAGAATTCCGATAAACTAATTTTGCAAAGAAATTCAGATGCATGAGCGCGATCGTGTGCGACACCCAGTCATATCACTGTATCTCTAACCACTCGATGCAATGATCTCAAGGTCCCCATTCGGTAAACCTGACGTGACCTGTATGACCGAGTCTTCGGGTTAGGGTTTTGCCTGCAAACTAACTGAGCGCCGATCCTCAATACCTGAGTTGTGAAGCAAAAAGGAAGATTTGCAAGCTTATCAAAAAGTAGGCTGTAAGCCAAAAATGAAAACACACTCCATCAAAACACTGCACTGAATTATAATCACCTAGAAGTGTGTTGATAACTGTCAGAGCCCAAAGAGAATCAGCCACGCAACCTAATTTCCAAGAACGACATTTATATTTGTGCACCATAGCCAGGCTTATCAGTTAACCGGTTTTCATATATGTGAGGGAAGAAGCATTCGGTATCTGCGACGTTTCAGTATCTAACAAAATGACAGAGCATGATGTTATTTTTCAGGTTATCAGCACGTGAAAAGACAAATCGTTCGCTGTTTGGAACTGGAAAGCACTAGATAAACCAAGATTTACAGTTTTCCGGTTTATAAAGCGATAAAAAGAAGCCGGTACTGGTTGATCTTCTGTGAACTGCGAGGTGTTACGAAGAAAAATCTTTTCATTTCTTGGGGTCAAGCCACTTGGTACATTCACAATCATTCACACAAAAGGTTGCCTTTCGTGATTCAGAAAGTACTCCAAGACTAGTGTTGACAACTCGATTCCGATTAAGCAGCAGGCTGTAGATGGATGGAACAGAGTTAGACTAATTGATGGAATTGATGAGTGAAACTGCAAGTTGGCAGTGGATCTGTTAAGTTGTGATGAGCTATTTCGTCGGATTTAATGCGCAGCCTTGTGTTAATCTACAGAAAAATGAATGGTTCAAACTACATTACAATACAAGCAAAACCTAAAGGCACAGCTGGAATAATGACCGACTTTTATGGCCTGAGAAGCTAACACCAAAACCTTGCGTCATCTCTCCAAACAGACTTAGGCAATTACATTCCACGTCAGTGAAACCCATGCATAAGGTTACCGAGCAATTTATCCGTACAAATGGCAATACCCTTTGTTAGATCCTTTCATTTGTTACAGAAGGCCAACGATGTACGATAAACGTGGATGAAAATTAACTCAGGTCCGTTTGGCAAAATCAAATCGTGGGATTGCATCTCGTTTTACTTTGAAATTGTGGACACAGTTAGTACTAGGTAAGAAGATAAACATGCGCTTGGACTGTTCTGGTGGAACGAGGGTTCGCATTTTATAGGTCAGCAAGTTAAATATACAGTTAGTTTCCTTAATCCCATTCATGCGTTGACATGCCCTTTGGTCACATGGTACGTCCATCAACAAGTAGATGATATCCAATGTAACCTTTTTTTCATTTGACTTTTTTCACAGGCAGCTGAAGTTGGAAGTAATGCGAGAAAATGAAATTTTTGAGACTTACTTGCGAGAAACTTTGCCCCACTTGTGTAAACTGCTCGGTAAGCTTTTCAGTTTCATTATTTTACGCACAATCAATGTTTACATTATCAGAAGCGGAACAAGCTAGTGCCACAGGTCGATTTACGAAGCGTGTTAGACCCGCATCTAGAATCCACATCTCAGGACATCGGGAGACCCTGACAATGAGACAGAAATGTGAAATTTTGGAATCAGAAGTTAATCGAATTAACCAACAAATTATCAAAATGAAAAGGGAATTTGAAGAGCCCATAAAGAACTACAAGGTACAGCATACGTTTATCAAAACATCAAATGATCAAGTAATTTTCCAGTTGTTATTATACGTTTTTAACCCACATTGGAGTTTGGGGTGCCAAAATAATACGCGAGAAATGCATTTAACAGATTACATGGCTTGTATTCTGAAGCGCTAAATGTGAAAAATGATAAAGTTTTTCATCACTTTCCAGCAATCGAAGCGTGGCGTGAATAATGTCTATATGTGCAAATATAGGCTGACATTGACTGATTTCAAATCAAGACAAGAAACTTTTCAAGCACCAAAAAAGTGAATTTTCAGCAACTTTATATATATACATATACTGCGATTTTTCATCGATGACATTCAAACCTGGACCAGGAAACAAGTATTTTTACAAGAATGAAACAATTGCATAGGTTTTTGGTCACAAAATACAACTCTGCTTAAGTTGATATATATATATATATTCTTGACAGATACGGCACTGAAATAACTATGGGTTCAAAGTGAAACCCAGAAACAAAAAAGGGAGAAAACAAAAACGGTCAAATCTGGGAATAACAGCATTTTTGCTTATTTACTACAATCACTTTTGAATTTCTTTTTGTTTTACTTTTGGGATTGCACAGGAAAGGGCGCAATCACACCAATGACTTCGGTTCCGCATTATCTCCAGCCGAAGATAATATAAATCTTTGTGACCCAGGTGAGGAGCCGAGAGACCCCGATGAAAGCCAAACCCGACCACAATCTCTTTGGCACTCTACACCACGTCTTAGTCTGCCCAGGTCACAGATTTTTTCATCCCAAACCAATGTCTGCAAATAGTGTATGGTATGGCAGACGTTTAAACATTCGTCCAAGCTAAGCGTGATGACTTACCTAGGTGATTACAAAGGGTGCTTTTGGCTAACTGACACTGAACATTCCAAGGCAGTGCTTCACTGTACTTGTATCTTGTTCATTCATCCCGAAATTGGTTAGTGTATGCATTATTTCGTTGAGGACCAATGATTTCGAGAGAAATTGGCTTTGGTCTTTAGATGCAATATCAAGTCCACTCTGATCTCTAGGCGTTTATTTTTACATAAAATCTAGTGAAACTGCCTGAGGTGCTGAATAGCACAACGAAGGAGAATAGGCGAGGAAACTTCCATGGATGATAGCATAAGCTCTCTACTATTCAGTACAATATACTCGCTTTTATGTGTGCCTTTAATAAATTGTTTCATGCGCATTATGTTTACGGTCCAATTGCGAATGATGATTCATGTTCTCTGTCTTTTGAAGCGAAACGATGGGGCAACTTTTCCCAACCACCCCCCACCCCCACCCCAAAAAAAACATGATGTGCGTATCTGGACAGGAGCTTCCGGAATGTTGTCATGCTCACGGAATTATCGAATAGGGTGGATCATCGTAGCCGAATGACAGCCAGTTTATGAAATCCTGTAAAACATATGGGCGTTCCATTTCCCCCGTTCACTGAGCTTGGCAATCTGTTTGCAAGCAAATTACCAAACTCGGCGAACAGGCGAAATGAAATTCAGTTCACTCGAGCTACAAGAACCGATTTTCAATACTTTGTCAACGTATGGACGTTTTTAAATATGGGAATGTAGATCGAAACAATAGATTCTCAAGCTATCTGGCGTTCATCAGTAATGGAATAGTTAATATAAGGCTAAAGTTGACAAATTCTACAAAAGCTGTACAACGGGCATTTTAAAAATTCCTGTCAGTAACTAGATGCTGTCTTTAAACAGGTATTAAATTCTGCATCGAATGCAATGGGCTTAAAGCAACGGTTGTTAAATACACCGACAGAGGGAAATGATACTTTATTAAGTATCAATGATCATCAGATAGTTTACGTTAGTTTCTTTGTCACCAGGATTGTTGCATCGTGATTTGTTTGGCACACGGTCTGAAATCAAACGTGTACGAAATATAAAAGTAATATTCAAACTATTACTGGCAAGATAAGAAGGCTGAGTTAACAGTATTTATTTAGTAACTTTAGTTTTAGTCTTAAGGGCAGCATAACTGTGCACTGCATCACTACTAGGTCGATGGATCGCTCAGTTGTGTTCGTCTTTCCTCATTGATTGAAGGTACTTGTCTACAAGCCTTTTGACCGTAGCGCCATTCACCTACTCACCAATACTACTGGAAGCGAGTTCCTGAGAGTTGTCAATCTATTATATTATATTATATTGCAAACATNNNNGGATTGTCGTTCTCCTTGAAAAACGATAGACCAACCACGGACCGACTGAATGAAGCTTATGTGACGTCACAGAGTGCTTTTTCATGCGTTGCTTCACCCATAGAGCACAATGGTAGTAAAACTCTAGTCATCCTTTTATCCAGAATAATCCTGATGACAATGATGATGTCCCGTCGCGCGCCTTGATGCACGATTGAAGACAAACCAGTGGCATGCAGGCGATCTTCATAGTCTTTCTCACGTAGTCCGACAATTAACCTATTGACAGCACTTTATACAAGCTCCAGCTTGGTGGGGGGATTTATCCTCACAAGGTTTACTCAGACGAAACTACTCCTAGCCGTATCGCTTAAGCAGTTTGCAGGTCATCACTTTCAAATAACATCTCCTAGTTGGACCAAGTTGGAACTGTAGGTCGTGGCCCAACAGGGCCTGCACCGTGGGGCCTCCACCCCCAAACGGTTGACTATGACAATACTTTGAGACAGTGATGGAAGATTCTTTTGCTGTTTTACCTCCTGGGATGTACAGAGGCATTCCTCAGTCGGTCGGTGTATACTGCACACATGCGATACGGGCGTCGGGGGAACGTTTTTGCACGTGAGTCTCTAGCTGATGGGAGCGAAAGTTTCTTTGTCTGCTTCCTACGCAGCGTGATCTACTTGAAAGGATGTCAGTGATGTCCGTGCACAACAACACAACTGGGACCAGTGTTGGCGGAGGTGGAACGAAGTATCACCGTCGGGGTTGGGCTGCCCTTCCGTGGGGAGATCTAGAACTCGGAGCACAAATTCACCATGTTTATAGATGACTATTTGGCGTGCTAATCTTACTTATCAATTCCCATTTCTAAACAGATGAAGTAGAGTCACCCAGGATATTCATGATTTCCTTGGGGGCCAAAATGGTTAAAAAAGCCATACATGCATATGTTCTTGCTAGGATTTCCTTTTTAGGATGCGCAAATGCCCGTAATAAATTCGATAACCCACACTCGAGGAGCCCGTTATTACTCAGTCACCAATCCAAAGTCACCTGACTATAAACGATGGATAATGGTCTGGCTTGCGCTTTCCGCAACTGTTTCAAATCAATTAGAAATTTTGAACAATAAACAAAATGGGACATTCGATAAAAAGCATTTGAACGCTTCCTTTTGGCTTTTGTTATAGAAAACACCTGAGGTAGCATCCTCTCAACGGGACAAAGCTGCACTACACAAGTCACTCATCATGAAGAGGTGACTGTTCTCCACGAACCTATATTTTATGGTTCCTCATTTGAAGTCCTTATCTCAATCGAACCTATTAAGGTTTTTGGCTAGGTGATGATATCGGAGTAGAGAAACCAAAGTTACCTTGTTTTACTATACAAGCTGTTTTCAACACATAGTAGGGAAATATTAGCAAGTAGTTGGCAAAAGGCTAGTCCACAATTCGCAGGGAGTGTAAAATACCCTATTAAAGTGAGGTGAAAATGATATCAGTATTACCATGTACCTGTACTTTTATCGCACCCTATTAGAGTTAAGTTATGAATAATGTTTGTCTAGTAGTACGGTAATTGTAGGATGTTTTCATATTTTCTGATTTGTCACGGCTACGAACAAAGGAAACCGAAGTTGCACTGATAATATTGCCTAACCTGACTACGAAGCGTCTGCAAATAACACTTCCAGCTCGAAGAACAAGCAAGCCAACATCCGCATCTTGAGCTAGAATCAAGCCACATTATATCCAAATACCATTGTGGTATTTTTAATATTGAAGCTGGATGAAATTTTCTAGTGTCGCCATAATGTTGGTGCACACTTTATACGAATATATTTCTTAAATTTTATTGAATGCAGGGTTCTAAAACAATTTTTTGTATTTGACACATTGCAATAAAACATGTGCTCAGATGTGACCGACCAGAATTGGTGTCAGGTTCTCTCGATCATTGGTCAAAATACATCAGGTAGATTTTTAAATTAGAACAAGAAAAAGGATTGCGGTTGAAAATTTATTCAATGGTCTATAAATCTGGTTAAGTGACACACAAAGTCAGAAGAAATTCCATCTACATACGTTTCGTGCTATTGCTTAATGATAGTTACATGGTAACCAAGTCTACAAATCTCAGTTTATGGTGTTCTCCCGGGAAGATCACCGAAAAAACAGTCTGTTAGGGTCGATAAGAAATACAAGCAACAGCCACTAGAGCCAAATGTGCGGACAAAACCTTTGGTCGCCGAACAAATGAAACTGTTGGTTTGAAGTAATAACATTTAGTNTTAGTGACTGAAGCTCGAAATGAAAATATTAATAACACTGGACAGTTGGGTTGCATCAACAGTGCTAATAAACCTACCCAACTGAAGGTTGAATTCAGATATATATATATATATATCCTACTTCTTGATACTTGGTCGTTGACCATTGTGCCATTTGGCGATTGACCAGTGACATACACCTAGTTTGATATGAACATGACGCTTTTCAGTGATTGGATAGCCCTTGCGAGGAAACACAAATACCAGCAAGCCAAAATGGTGTCATTTGACGTCACAATGTGCAAGCGCCTATCAATCAGGGAGAAACGAACTATGTCGAAACTGGTGAATCAGCCAAGTGCAACTCCGTGGCCAAACAGATTGGCATTTTGAGAAAATCTGTTCACAATGTGGTATACCACGGAACGATTATGGGAGAATTCATCAACACTGGAGCGTCTAAGGAAAAATGCCATCTGGAAACTAACGAGAAGTTAATCGGGTCACCTTAGCCGAGTTTATTGCTACGGAGAGTCTCCCATGTTGGACAGCATTCTTTGGGAGAAGACAATCTCGATAACATAAAGAATGCATCACGCTGGCTTTAAGGCTTCAAATGGTTGGCTTAGCTCATGGTCCAACACATGTTCTATTCAATCCTACAAAGTAAGCGACAAGGAACTACTCATGTACAGTACTTTTTAGGTTTCTGGGTAAAGTTCGGCCGTAGCAAGCAATGCAATAGACGGGTTTCGAGCCAAGTTACAGCAGTTGATTTATGGATATGCTGATTGTGATAGTTTTACTGCAAATGAAACAGTTTTGCATTACCAGCAGGAACCACAAAGTCTTAAGGGATAAACAGTTCCTGGGTCCGAGAAATCAAAAGGAAGGATCACGTTGCTGGTTTGAGGGAGCCCTGATTTGGAGAAAAGTTATCACCGGTGGTTATTGGAAAGTTTCAAAATTCACAATTTCTACATGGTTCAGTTAGAAAAGTCTTTTGTATAGTCACAATTATGAAAAAAATTACGCACAGATAACTTTTTTTGTTTCACAATTGACCGGATAGTTTCTTACTTGCACTGACTCGTATTGGTGTCCACCGTTTCCTAACTCTGATGTGCAACCGTGCGGAAGATTTATAACTGGGGAGTTTCATCGCACACTGTTGAGATTTTACTTAAACATTCGATTTACAAATTCCTATTTATTCTTAATTTAGTGGTAAACTAAGATACTGCCCCAAAATAAATCACTGTCACCGAAATGGTCAAAACGATATAAGAGAAAAATCAGATTACAAAACTAAGTGCTCGATACTACGTGATTAGATGGGGCTTGAGAAAGCATTTTGATATTTTTATTCACAATCTGAAGCTCATTTTCAATGAATACCATCCGGTGGTAACATAAATCCTTGCTGTTTCTGGTGATCCGATTAAATGTATTATTCTCAACTATGGAAGTAAAAAAAATAAAGTAGCCGAATTGGATTAATTTCTAACAGAATATTTTGGACGTTTCGATACAAAAGCTGCGCAATCAGTTAGCAAATGTTAGGACTATACCCAAACCGTCAACGGTACTGTGATGTTTTATAATTTAAAACTCTAGAAAATAAAAACGAAACTTTCAGTAAATGTTTAGTGCCGCCCATATGTCATTGTTTGCTCAAAAATGGAGTATACAATCCATGTGTTACTTACTCACAAACCTTATTGTTGCATAATTTCTTTCGAAACGCAGTTACCAAAACCAATTATTGTGATAAAATAGTGCGATTTTTATTCAATCTCTCTCTCGCTTGTTTCAGGCCACTGCTGAAGCACTGGAGAAGAGAAAACGAGAGATTCCGGAACTTGTTGCCAGCTTTAAAAGAAACGTTGTCCAGGGTGGGTATGACGCACGTTTGGGCGCGGTCGCAAGTGAAACCCTGTTGAGATATCACGAAATTTGCATGACGCATAAGGTAAATCAAGCACAGTAATGTCATAGTTTGTAATTGCTGTAATTTATGGTCACTTACACAATCCGCGTAGTAGAGTCCACTCTTCAATCTTAGATTGAGATTTATTATTTTACTCCATTTACTCTTAAAATTTATGATTGAGAATAACAATTCGGCTTGAAAAATTTTACCACCTGCAAATATTGGGTCTGGATTCAATAAAGTGAAACACTTATTATACAATATACTTCGGAATTACCTCTCATTGCAATACCCCGAACGATTGTTTCAGGCAATTGTATGTCCCCTTCAGATTTCGGTGATGCTGTATTATATCACTTGAATATGGCCGCTATGGAAGCAGACCACTTGCAATTCCCTGGAGCATTCTGTCAACAACGAAAAATGACGTCATTTGTGTGACCATCAAGAAAAGATTGAGCATTGATGTGTTGTGGTTGCTAGCGACCGTTTGTGATCCAACGATTCACAAATCATGGCTTGTAGCGAACCAAAATTCTCATGGGGACTAAAAGATCAGACAGAATGCAGTATTCCCGTTCTCTGGTTTCTCTGGTGCTTGAATAACACCTCGACCGATAAAAGGATGGAGGAGTTGTCGATTCAAGTATATGGGCTTTCATCTTGCTTTGACGGTTGACCTATTTTAAATAAAGGCTTTGATCGAGAACAGTTATCGTTCTTCTGCTTGGTGACTGAACTCCATCAAACTCCGATTAATACATAAAATATGAATAATTCCGTCGTTCACCAACCTTCACACAAGATAATCTGCACCGCACTGCCCATCACAATGAGTGAGTTCTTCAGTTCCAGTTCTCAGTTTTTACAGCAATTCATCATGCAACTTTGTGTGGCGGTTTTGATTGTTTGCTTTAGGCAGCGGACTTGGATAAAAAAGAAGAAGGAAGAATGAGATGTTCAGAACAGAGTCACGGATTGCGATCAGACAAGTGGATCGACCGATCGATCGCACTGATCTGTTTGAGGCTTAATGTCTACTGCGTTTCAGAAATTCCCGATTAGTGCAAGTTACCTAGATGAACCGGGTTTGTCCTCCAGTTAGTTTTTCCCCAAATCAACCGAGGTTGAAACCCATTCAGTTGTTCAGTTTGCAGAAGGCATACTAAAGATAGAGCATTGATTATAAACTAAATCCACTTGCACAGTGCGCGAGCTTCGGCGCTGAGCCCATTTAGTACCCGGAAGGGAAGGAACAACAAAAGCCGTTTGTTTAAAGTTTCAGTACCACCAACTGCATTTTCAATGTCAAAAAGCATCAGTTCTGTAACAGAATCATCGAACTCATTTGGTTGAGTCATAGTTGCGGGGTAATTGCGTTGACAGGTGATTTTGCCTCACAGGTTGGAAAACTGAGCAAATCAGAAGGCTGTTGTGTTCTGTTATACCAGCAAACGACTAATAGTATTGGGCCTCAGTTCGACGCACACACGATACAATATGTTTCTGTTCAATACCAATTTCCGAAGCAGTACTCAACGGACGGCAACGCGGTCTTTCAGTTCAACAACTAAGAGGACTCCAAGTGACAATATGGCAATTGGTTTGGCGTTTAATCAGATCACCCATTAGTTTTGATAAGCTTTGCGCTTTGACTCACTCGTTGCCAACCAAAGCCCCAAAACTTACCTTAAATCCCTTGTCTAATCCAACTGTTCATGTCTAGTAGGACAAAGAGCAAATACACAAGCTAAGAAATCCGCGAAAAGGTGGACAATAAGATTACATTGATCGTGCCATGCATTCTACAGTGAACATGACTTCTGGATACGACCCTGGAGGTCGTTCAAAATACAGGGTCACTTAGAAATCTGTGACTCTGATGGAGAAAAAAGCAACAAATCTCGACCTGTACGAATTAAGTGGCATCTTCAGCTCATAAAGGGCCTAAAGAAGGACCATGAAAGCTGTCGGACCTAACCAGCTATTAAAATGAAAGAAACATCTGTCAAAGAGTAGTCAAAAACTGTTCCAGCTTCTATGTAAGACTGGATGTTGGGGAATCCCGGTTCGTAAACTAGGGTGCGATAAAACCAGACCAGCTGTTCACACTAGGAAACAAGAGCTCAATAACCGGTTGGAATACTTTATTTCCAAATTTGCATAATCCGACGCGAACAGATAATCTCGTCGAATAAGTTCGACCCTTATCCTCATCAAAGTAGTAGTCTCTGTCTTTGACGTTCGACTCCGTAAACAATGGGCTAGATTTCTACCTGATCATAGATAAATGGTTCACATTGTTGCGTTCAATCAAGTTCTGTAGTTACGCTAAAGATGCAAATGAAAGCAGTTTTCTGATACATACCAAGCTTTTCACCGAGTGGACCGTGAAGCTCTTTTCTAAGCCTTTCTTCGCTATATGGCCTCGACCTGAACCTGGTGTTTCAATAAAGCTCAAATTCTGTGTATGATGTGGTTGTGAAATTTTGAATCTTCATGTACTTACTCAGTTTTACGTTTGTAGAGAATGGAATGTCCACTAGGTCGTTGGGATTTTGAAAATGTTTAAGTGAAATATTACTAATTACTAATCCATTTCGATTGAGTGGGATTCGATCGTTAGAACACACTTTGCACATGTCACACCGCTCCTAATTTCCAGTTGTCAATCCAGCTAGATTGAGCACAGATCTTTTCCCATTACAGTCAGACTCAATAAACTGAGTGACTGTCATAGAAGACAGCGTCTGAACAATCAAATTCTAACCAGTCTCGGATCATGCCAGTCAACGCAGTAGCGAAACTCACGCGTTACATGCGAGAGCTCCGGAGTTCGAATGCCTGACGGACGTGCCTGATTCATATTCACTATTGTTGAGCTCAAATAAGATGGTAATTCTAGTCTAGTGCTTCCCAAATGCATGGCGGACTTGGTCCGCTACGGATTGTGCATAAAAGTTAAGTTTGCACGTTGGTCAACCAAAACAAACTCACAATTATCCCACACGGATTGGTAGCTTGCAGTCAAATATGGATTTACGCGTTCCATACAGCTACAGCGTATCCGGAAGATTTTTCATATCGTTATCCATTCTTTTGTTTAATCGTTCAAAGGAAACGCAAATCAACCGATTTTTGGTCGAGAGTTGTCTTATGCGAATCAGAACGCGTCAAATGCGCTGGATTATTCGACAACGGGAAATATGGCGTGCTGCGTTCACTCCACTCGAACTGGAGCGGATGCGTCTGTTGCATGCCAGTTCCTATCGAGAGTGTGATGAACTGAAAGCGGAAGTTGTACACCAAAAGTGGTATCTCTCAAGGTTGTTGGGAAAAGTGCATGATTATAAAGTGAGTTATTGATTTGCATGAGTCACGATAAAGTTATCAAGTGAAAATATTGTCCAATTTTTGTTTGTGAACACATTGCGGATTGCTTAGTCGTGTTGCTATTTCTTGCCAGCCACTGGACTGATGAGGAAGAAAAAAGCACAAAGGAGGAAAGGGGATATTTGAGAGTGGACAGGACAGGAACTCGTAATAAGGGTAAATCCGATCTTTTGTGTGACGTGCAGAGACGTACGGGGCGGACACTGTTTGCAAAACAACCATTCTAACTATCATCCCTTTTCTTGGATAAAGATATCGGTAGATCGATGGGGTGACCACGGATAGTCCCCTGGGACCGATTCTGGAGGATACTTCTCTAGGTTACCTCAATAAAAGACTTAAAAGGATATTTTAAAATAAAATCTATATTGTCGCCATGTCGATGTTATCTTCATTGTAAGCAACAAATAATATCGAGTGAAACTGTTCCATCGACTCAGCACAATGCACTCCAACTTCAAACTCAATCATCAGGAGGAACTTAATGACCGCACCGAGATTTCACATATCAGCATTATTCGCCGACCGGTTGGATCGATCAAAAGGTCTGTATTCCTGCAGAACATGTGGTCTGGGTGATGCTTACAGTTCTTGAGCCTTCCTCCGTGCGATATGAAATGGGTCTGGTGCGCACAATATTTCATAGTGCATATAAGATGCACACAGAAGACTCGTTAAACGATAAAGATGTTATATAAAAAAGGTGCTGCAGATAAACGAGTATACATATAAATTAATCGCCAGATATTGTGAACCAACCCCTAAAGTAGAAAATCAGTAATTTACCCGGAGATGAGCTTTCCCAAAGCTGGCGTAAAAAGCGATGATGTCAGTCAATCAGTCAGACAGCGTTTGGATTCTGCCGTCCGGTGCAACTGCTGCGCAGCCGACTCGATCATTGTCTTCACTACCACTCGGATACCAACGCCATCGGTGGCAGAACCACTGACTGCGTTTTTCTATTCAAGTGGGGATGATCAGTCATTTGCATACGCAGAACAGAGAGTTAGTTACGTCATCGAATAGGGTTACAAATCTTAGTGTGGCTTACGAAAGCAGTTAACGACAAGTATGCAACTATTGAATCAACAACTGAATATAAAAGACGCAGATCTTCGACTGAGCAACACCTATTTGAACAGAAACATAGTATCACCCTAGCTCACGCAACTCATTTCATTTACAACTCAACGAACACAAATTTTAGGGAGCTTTGATTCTTCATTTTAATTTACATGTCGGTAAAATATAGCTTAGGGATACCCAAGGGGTTGTTTCAAGCCCAGTCTTATCACTCCATGCTGTATACACTCAACGTATGTATTGCATAAAGCTTTTCAGGTTCGGGGGTTTGTTGTATTCAATAGTTTATAATAAATCAATGTAACTTTTGTCAACGATCTTCCGCTTTATGCATTCATTGAATAAATTGAGAAGTGGACGGGACAGGATAATTTTCCTACCTCTTCCCAGTTCCTTTATTGAATCAATCAATGTTCAATGTTCTTCAATTAGAGGCAGAGGGTAATTTCCCGTATGAGCCTCATCACCACAGACTCGAAGATCTCATTCATGATAGATCTGCATACCACATTGTTCGCAGGACGCTGTTGAGCTTCCTCTTGAACATCTTATCATTGACCTCGTCCACCACGTCAGCTGGGAGGGAGTTCCAAAGGTTGGTTACCCTTCGCGATAGCCGGAACCGAAGAGGTAATCCTACGGACGAAAGCTTCAACAGCGTAAGTTCATGTCCACGAGTCCTGGTCTGCTCCCGTAGAGGGAAATACTCCATCAACTCTGTACCCATGTCACCGCGAAGAATACGTCGCACACAGATGATATCACCCCGTACTCGGGGATAGGACTCCGGAAACAATCCAGTCGCATGCCATCGTTCGGTGTATCAATACCCGCGTAACCCGGCAATCATACGGGTGGCAGCTCGTTGGACTCTCTCCAGCTTCACCATTTCAGTAGTTGTATAGGGATATGCCGCGGCGCTCGCAAACTCCAAGCGAGGTCTGACGTGGGAGGTGTACAATCGCTTGGCTATTCAGCCGGTGACAGATGGACGTCGTTCGGAAAAGCTCATCGGGTTGTGGCGGCATGCGAGTGATTACGCAACGTCAAGCAACAGTTTCCACATAAAGTGTACAGTGATGTACACCTGATTATGACGATAAATGATGTATTTTTACCAAGTTAAACGGTTTGAAGCCCAGTGACGGTCCGAATAATTAGTGTCTGTTTTTCTTTTGTTTAGCGTCTCATTAAAAAAGAACTGAAAATCAGAGAAGAGCTGGAAAGAAAATTCCACGATTCTTGTCGATTTTCAACCACAGTTTTAAAACGAATGGGTGGAATAAATGAGGTACGTTACTCTGAATCTAGATCTATGAAAACGATATCATATTACGCGTAAAACTTGTTTGGTAAAATAAAAATCATTGCTCAAACATCGTTGTATGCGGCCGAATGCCAAGTTATAGGTCATCGTTCTGGTGTAATAGAGCAAATGCTTGAACTCCACAAAAGGTGGTAACCTGGAGATCTATTATGCATGTCATCAAGTAGGTTTCCTTATTGAGCTATGCTTACTGAAGTAACTGGCGATCATTATTATCGTCATCATCATTATCCTCATTAGCACCAACAGCAAAACAACACGGTGATTATCATCTCGCTCTCCTGATCTACTGAGATGGATCGAATCGCGTAATGCCATTCCGCACTACAATATTGTCCGCAACATGCACAAATCACCTCTGTTTATTTTGTTTTACGTTTGGAATTCGGATTTAGCAAAAATAAAACTTTTGGCAGAATACTGCAATGAAAATTCACAATTATGTTTTAATTCCTAATGAAACAAGGATCAGATAACCGGTAATATTCTACGACTGTACAACATTATTGAATTCTTGAGTGTTTGCTTGGAATATCTCATTGATTTCTTGCTAGCATACGCTATTGAATATCGTTTTTATGTGTTTCAGGGGCCACATACTTTTGGTCATGTTCTTGATTTATTTTGAATTTCCATTCCTCACGGTGCTTTATTTAGATCTAAATCAACCCTCTGGTATCTGAGATTTTTCATGCAAGATGCATAGTCATGCCAAACTCAGTTTTCATTTCTATACAATTCATGTATACTGAGAAGAAACCATGTTGCTTATAGTTCGGGTTTTGATTACTAACCGGCACAGACCTGTAACCAGTGTACTGGCTAGCAACATAAAGCCAGTACTCCTTTAGAGCCATAATAAAGACGGGACAGCTGTCCAGTGCTGTTTCGGGCAATTATACTATTCCATCTCATAAATTATATCACGGCTTCCATCTGCTTGGAAAGCACTAGTCTCTAATTTCACTTTTGAAAAAAATCATCAGTGGTGAATATCCAACGCATACACCGGGGCTAACAGAATTATTATAATATTATATTTCATACACGTATGAATACAGACTGCCAGGTCAAAGTCAAAGTTTTATTATGGGCATTACTTACAAGCAGATGCTTTCCTTGTCCCATAGGGTGTTTACACGAGTTGAATTGTAACAATGCTGAACAAAATTCTATATGCCGTATTCGGTTTTGTTGTTGTGAGATACTAATCACAAGTGAGTAGTACGCAAAAAGATGCGATCACCGGTTTTTTTCAACGACCAAAAATCAACAAAACCTGTTGGAGCAAACTGCTGATATTCGCTATGGTGAATACAAGAATGCGCATCTAATAATGAATCGTTCCATCAACTATCTTGTGTGCGTGTGAGAATTTTGCAACCTTATCCCAAATGGGATATTTTGTTGTATGAATGAAAATTTAACTATATCTCGAACGTAATTGGCAGTAAACGATTGTCCTCGACCAGCACCGACTTTTTGAATTATAACAACTGATGCCGTGACCAGGATCGGAACGAAGGTCCCATGGCCAGAAGCCTTAGAGGATGGAGACGCGCAGGCGTTCCTGGAGGATTTCGAGGACGTCGCGGAGCTGGCGGGAATACGGTCGGACCGGGGTAAGTTCACGGCCCTCCGAGCGCTTCTAAAGGTCCTGGCTCGGGAGGTGTTGGATGCGGTGAGAAGAGGCTCGGAGAAGATGAAATCGGCCGCCGCGAAGGACACCCTGATCGCGGGTTTAGACACCCCGGCCGACCACCAGAGGGCGTTACGGAGCTTCAGGACGCTTCAGTTCGGAGTTTGCGTGGACCACCTATCTCATACCGTGGCCCTGCGTGCCCTGTTGGATCGAGCACTGCCAACTTTGTACAAACCACTGATCGTATCTTTTTGTGTACTACTCACAAGTGAATAGTATCTCACATCAGTGTTGTGTGCTCGGGGATGTCGGAATGCAATGTGTGTTAACGATTGGTCAAGTTTTACCTTGAAAGAATCAATCGTCGTGGCACAACCAACACGAGATGGTTAGGAATTCCAGGCAGTGCACACTCTGACGGCGAACGTATAACATCCACAGTCCAGTCGAGATTTTTGAAGTACTAACTTGAATGGATGTCCCCGTAGGTGAACGTTTGATGACAACGTCAAAAGTCGGCGACAAGGGTGGTTTGGGTTGTGTGATATTTGGTACACTAAAACTAAGTCTCCTCGAGTCCGACGATACTGCGAAGAGTATAGACCCAATGACTGAAGTCTTCCCATGTATGAATCATAATAGAGTCCTTTGACTATCTTCGTGGCGAGCCTTTGTGGACGCTCCAAAATCTTACAATCACTTTATAACCATGGATTCCAAGTTTGGATGGCATACCCACTATGTGGCCGGATATGTACTGACAGTAGACTTGAGAATAAAGATGGTTCAAAACGACCGAAAACACGTTTAAGTAGACCGACATGTTTCAGTGCTGTTGATGACACCCTGGCACAGTTAATAGAACATCTCAGGTCCTCTTGGACCATAACACCCAAGTCCTTCTCTGTTGATGCATGAGGCAGTAATTCGTTTCCAAGAAAAGAAGGGAACCGCGTAGCGAAATTACCTTGCAATTGGAGATGTTGAATTGGATTTCGTTCTCAATAGACCATTTGTGAGCTGCATTCAGTGTTTCTTGTAGTTCCAGTGAATCCCCATTGTCTGTCGCTGTCTTCCAGATTTATACGTCGTCTGCAAACAATAATGTTCGTGGTCCTAGGACATTTAGCAGGACGTTTATGAACAACAGAAAAAGTCGTGGACCAAGCACAGAACCCTGGGGGACTCCGCAAGAAACGGTGATAGGGGCGGACAGTGAATTAGAGACTCGAAGCGAAATTGTCCGTTGTTGGAGTAACGCAGCAATCCAATCATACGCGAGGTCTCTGATGCCAAACTTTTACAGTTTACAGAGTAGTATCCCATGGCTCACCCAATCGAACGCTTTGGAAAAGTCCAGGTACACCACATCAGCTGCATCGCCTTTGTCTACTGCCTTTGTTCATTTATCGCGGGCCGGGAGCAGATTGGTAACACATGATCTCTTTTGACAGACTCCATGCTGAACTGGAGAAAGGAGGTCATATTTCTGTAGGTGTTCCATCAAGACATCCGCTACGATGGATTCCATGACTTTGGATAGCACGGGTAGGAGTCTTACCGGGCGGTAGTTGTCATGATCACTACTACGACAGCCGCCTTTGTAAATTGGAGAAATTATATCTTGTTTCCACGATTGGGGCAGCACGGTTGCGTCAAACATCCTTTGGGAAAGAAAGCTAACTGCTCAGATATGTAATCCGCTAACACCGTAAGCGGTTGAGAATGTAGATTGTTTGCATCTGGAGCCGAATACTTACGTAGACCCAGAAGCTTTGATGTTACTTTGTCGGCATTGAACGTGAAGGTAGTCAGTGACGGATTTGGAAGAAACAGTATCCGACTAGGTAACCGTAGTCTCTCGTTGTTGGGTGTGTCGAACATTGTTTTTTAGCATCTCAGCCGCTTCCTGGGTGTTACTGGCGACCTTCCCAAGACAGCTACAGGTATCCCATACTTTACTTTCCTTGACATACTGACATGTTTGTATAGTAGCGACGGTTTGGAAATGAACTTCCGTGAGAGCATTTCTTGGTACCTCAGCTTATCCTCTCGCACCGACTGGGTAAAATGGTTTTGCAATTGTCGATATTTATTCCAGGTGCTGTCAGTTGTAAATTGATTGTATTCTCGCCAAGATCGATTTCACAGAGACACATTTCTTTGTGCGGCTACGAATCGGCAAGTTTTGGACCACTGATTCTCTGACACTCTTAGTAACTGAGGCGATCAGATTTGTAAGTCTGCCTGTAAATGCTTTCCAGGTGACCACTGGGTCATGAACGTCCCCAGGAAAGATCCACTGAGTGCAGCGAGCCAAATGCTGCAATCGAGTATAGTCCGTGGTGAGGCAAGTATTGTTTTGCAGAGTTCTTTCTATTGAAGTGTAGCAGACATATGTGAACAGCAATACTGCATCCTAAGACAGGCGAGACATCTATGGATTAGACCATAAGCTCTTCGTTGTTTAATACCATATTCAGCATTGATGACGTCTCCAAGTTCCCAAACCAATCATGGCACAATAATCTTTATGAAAGAGAACGACTTTCCATGATTTGCATGTGGGCGGAATACTTCCAGGTTGCCCAGACCAAGACAGGTGAAATCCCTCGAGGAATCCACAACCGGAGTCTCTGGCTAGCCAAAGCCTGGCCCGCAAGGCAGCGGGCGGTGTGCGAAAACTGCAATCCATTTGGGGACGGTGTCCAGTTCATTGGATCATTCACCCTCTGGACGGGGTCAAACGTCCAAGATGTCTAATACACCTGGATGCCCAATCGAGCCGGTGACCACTGCCACAACGGAGAGGGGGTATGTGGCTCTTACGCCTCCTTTTGGTTAGTTTGGAATCAGGGTTTTTGGCCAACTCCCAGTGGTTCACCAACCCGGCTATAGCCCTGGATGTCATCCTTTCGTCCCCTCAGTTTGGTGCGAAAACACCACCGCCACGAGAAGACAGTGAGTAGAGCCTCCTCAGCAGAGACTATTTCAGACGCTTGGTCGCATGGGAGCATTTCACGAGGTGCAACGGGAGGGTGACCAGCCGCAACCATAGACACCCAGCCACGACCATACTGAGGTTTTTGGAGACAACAGAATTACCACATCAAATTTGTTCACATATCATTTTCAGTGATGGTCGCATAGGTCATTGGGTCCGACAGCAACAAAAAGAGAATCAGTAAACTATTTTTCAACTAACAGAATGTGCCCATTATGACATAAGAACACACCTTCTGAGGCGAACAATTTTTTTTAACTGATTCATGTTCTAGTCGGTACCAATGATATGAGGAAATCATATGTGAAACGCGGATAGAATTTCAATGAAAACGTTTGTTTGTCCCTGAACGTGTAAATTTCAATTCTATTCTCTATTTCTTGCCACATCTTAGGAGAAACTAAGAATTAAATGCTAATCAAAATCTAGCCCAAGTAAAGGTACTTGTGATTAGACAGGTCAAACCTGAATTGAATTGATGGTAGCCCTTCGAAAGTTTTTCTTTCTCCATTCATTTATTAGGTATCACAATTTTAGGTGCGCATTGTTACTAGTTACCGTTTGTTTTACAAATATCTATTCTAAGGAATTAGCGGATGAAGAACGAGAGAGAGGGGCAATCAATCAAATAATCAAAGAGAACAGGCTACCTAAACTGCATAACTATGTCAGTTATGTAATTCAGGCAGTGGAAGAAGCTAAGAGACATGGTGGATCGCAGTTTGATCGTGCAAAAGTAAGTTTGTAAAGGCAAAAATAATATGAACGTTTCATTTCTGTCATTCTCATCTATATTTGGTTAATCGCTTGGCGATTGAGGTATTCTTTGAATCGTCTTAGTGCAAAGTGCTTGTGCATGTCTGACTGGAGCCTATGGTTACACTCACCCTTTGTGGTGCTCAGCTAGAAGTGGTTGAGAGATTTAATTATCTCGGGAGCTGGATTACAGATGGAGGTGGTTTAGCAGAAGAGATCGCGTCACGAATAGCGAAGGATAGAGCAGCTTTTGCCACCGGTAAAACCTGTGTCGCCACCCGGACATCCGATTCTCCCTTAATGGAAGGGTGTACATTACTGCGGTTCGTAGTGTTCTACTGTGCGGTTTCGAGACTTGGATCGTCTTCGGTGAGGATGCTAATATACTATCTGTGCTCAACCTCCAATGTCTCTCATAGTCGTGCTCTAACAGAAGTATTTGCTCTGCACCGCCGTCAGATACCTTGGCTGTTTTTCGTATGCCTGCCCATCCTTTAACGCCACGTTGTGTCTTTGCGCGTGCTGCGCAAGGCTGGAAGAAGTAATGTGACTGTTAAACCTTACGAAGAGATATAAAGAAGTTTGCCTTAGTATTGTCTTCGGTTGTTGCAGATCGTCTCCCAGTTTAGAGGTCCAAGGGATGAGGTTCGTCGACTGTTAGAGACGCTGCAAGATATAGGTTAGTGGTGTGAAAGCTGTGCGTTCTTCCAGCTGAAATCCCGTGTTCCTTAAATGATGATAAAATAATACAGAACAAACATCAAAAAGTGTACGGCGAAACAAATGAAAATTGTTATTGTTTGTTGCTTTAATCCTCTCTGATTATTTGATCTTCATCTCACTCGATTTTGTACCTCGATGTATAATTATAATTATTGTATAATTAATTGTATATTGTATTGTATAATTATTCTTGTTACTATTTCACCGTGTGTTTGGCAAACCAATGATATCTATATGTCTAACTTATCCGAAATACATCAATAAATGACCACTTCCTATTGTTGAATTATTGTTTCAAGTTAAATGATGAAATAATTTACTTCACCATGTTAATCCCGGAGAACGTTCCCGACCATAGATTAATTACTACAAAAATATTCATTTTCTAAACAAGGCATTGGGAAGACAACATTGAAACGATATAAATCATGAAATGACTATGAGGATTTACGTGCGCCGAATGTTCTATTGGATAGTATCAGCCGTTTCGACTAAACTCATACACCGTATGCCACATGCTTTTCGATTGATTGAACTTCATGTGGAGGTCACTATGATCAGAGTAAACTGGTCACATTAGAAACACAATATAAAGCAACGAATTTGTTTGAAATCCCCAGTAGTACCTAAACATCTTTTTGTAAATGGCGAGCAGGGAATAGATCAAAGACTTAATATGGGAATAACTTACAAGCTCATGCTTTTCTCGTCCCATACGTTCGCGTTCTGGTCAAAAGACAGTGATAGACAATTCCTTATGTAAAATGTCACATGAAACGGACTTCTTCCACTGCTACACATAGCTTCACTCATGTTAGAATGTAAGATGTGCTAATGCCTCATTAAGTCTCAGTTTGAAAGATTCAAAGCTTGGCGCACAGACGATGTGGGGTGGTAGAGAGTTCCAGATCGAACACACTGTGACTGCCAATGACTGACGCGAGCATTCCAATCGGCATTTTGAGACCGCTAGTTTGAACGGATCGCCTCCAAGATGAAAATCTGGTGATGATTTTAGCAGCGGGCGACTCGGATGACTTAGGTTTTGCATTATTTGGTATACGATAATCACGTCTCCTCTGATGCGCCGGTAGTGTTTGAAGTATAACCCCAGAGACTTCAGGTATTGATTACAATATTCTCCCGGGTGTGTATAACAAGAAATCTGCTGTGATAACCTACCACCTGTAAATGGAATCGAATAATAAAGCGTAGGTGGCTCGGTTCGCTTCAGTGTGTATTACAGAAGATAGCCAGCGCCACTCAGTGTGCATCGGCCAATAGACCGCTTTATATTTTGTTATAATTCATGAATAGTCATTTTGTGCCGTCTAATCGAGGCGAAAAGCATTTCCAAGGACGCTAGAACGTCGTCGAACTCCAGTTCAGGTGTGAACTATATTATTTTGTGTAGATTGACTGAAATGATTAAAAAAATTTGCTAGGTCTTTATTATAATTGGTAAACCATTATGTCGTCTGTTTAAAGTCTACAGAGCACCGCACTCTTTGATATGCCATAAAAGTTTCGTACATGTGATCCAGGCATTTATAAAGCCATTAATCTTTTTGCCTGCGGAACGCTAAATCGCTTTTGAGGTCCTACAACACACTTAGATCTTGGAACTCATTGAGCTGTGCAAATATATCTTGTTGGTGAACTGGAGAATACATTAGACAAAATACACAGATGGAAATGATATCTCAGTCACAAAGATAATTGCCAAGTTCGATCAATCTACTTTAGAGGTGTACTCTGTCAGTTTTGTTGTAACTGTTATTTTTATGCTTTTGCCTAAATTTATTGACGAAATACTTCTTATTTATTTGGTTAAAGATGAATGGTTATTTAACATTCCGGGTTTTACAGACAATTCAACAGTTACATCGTGAAATGTGGAACAATTCCGGTCGTTTAAGTCCATCATTGTTAAAGGAAAGACCGAGCAGTCCGAAAAATGTAACCAACAACTCATGGATCTCTCACTAATGAGAAGAGATTTTCCCCAGACCAACTTCTCCAATTCAAGTAAACAAGATGCAAGTTCGTGCATATCCTATGCTGTACAAGCCACTATAAACGGATATTCATAAAAAAATGGAACACCCGAATTCCCGTTTCGGACATTCGGAAACTGGACTCTCGAAGGTCAAATAAAATGGAACGAATCGTTCATCTCACACGAACTTCAAGAAGTTGCGATAATTCGTATGTGGAAACCCAACTGGAGAAAGCATCCTCGAAGAAGAAAAATTTGCAATTTTCAAGAAGGGACTAAAAATCGAGCGAAGAAACAGATCTCACTGATAACGAAAAGTGTTACCGGATGAGAAATAATGAAAAGACCAATGAAAAGCGGAATATGGAAATGGAAATATTGGAAACAGTTTGGGAAATATGTACGCTAAATTCTACATGTTTCCCTGATGGAAATGAATTCAAACGGAACGAAAAGTTTCAATTCGTTTTAAGGATAGTTCAACCGATTGAACTATCCAATGAAGCTGTACATCTGGATAAACCAAATGGATGATTGTTGAGCACATACATCCATGACATCCGGCGGCTATGTTGCCGATAGCAGTCTGTTCCAGTGAACCAGAGTACCCTGTTAAAAAACAAACAAGAGTACCACACTGACTGAAGCAGATTAATCATTTGTTTTTAATTCTCCCCTGTTGTGTGTGCTCCTCGCTCGTTCCGTGTCGAACGAGACTGATCTACCATCGGGGATTGGGCACACGAATCTGCTTCCGGACAGAGAAAACACGAACGCTTCCCAATGGATCGCGTCGTCATTCTGGCCAGGCGAAGCGCAATATAAGTTGGAGTTTGTGAAATGCATTGGTTGTCTTTGGCATCCCAATGCACGGTATTTGGAATAATAATCGCTGAGACATAACGAAACGGTTGTTTTCGATATCTACCTCGTTTCTTAGCAGCGTTGAAATATTGCATAAGTTATGTTCATACTACTGTGAATTTGATAGTAAGCATAAATAAATAAGCATAAAAAAATAAAACTGGGGAACCGTAAAGATGATTAATAACACAATGATAAATAAATCGGGTGAGTGGATACAGTAAAAAATTTTTAAGATCGCAAGCATAAAATAAATGACCATAGCCTTCGATTCGTTTTGAAAGTCGGGTTTAGATGTGAAGTCTAGGTGAGATCCTGGCAGAGAGTTACACCAAGGTATTGCAGAGAATGTGCTGGGAATAGGCTGGTTGTCAGTATAGAGTACAAAACCATTCCTTTCAAAAGAATGTAGCCGTTTTACTTTGGCTAACGAGAAGCTGATACCCCTACATTAAGAGATAATTTGGAATAAGAAGACCATACACTTAAGGCAGATAAACTTGTTTGAGGCTGTGAGAAGCAGAAATCACTTAAGAATTTAGAACCTGTATTGACATCATCAGCATATTTGATAAGAGGATCATATGGGTCAATGGGTAGGTCTTTAATATAGAAAGAGAATG